TATATATATTAGGTAACCTTAAAGTTATGTAAGTTAACTTAAACTAGAATGCCTAGGCTATAGAAGCAGTACTCTAGGATACTCTCTAATTAGGTATCTACCTAATATTTATCTAGGAACTATAGATAATACTATAAGATAATATAGCTAATATATAATTAATCTCCTACCCCTCTATAATATAAATTCTCCTAACCTTCCTATAGGGCTTACGTCCTTAGATAATGCTCTACCTAAATAAATCCCTTACCTATATCTAGGTAAATCCTTACCTAGATATCTTCCCTAGCCCTAACTACCTTACTATGGATTTAACCTACGGAGAAGATACTATCCGCGTAGTTAACATCTATAATAAGGCGGAATAAGGCACCCTATCCTCCCTACGTATAATAGAAAGAGTTATTAAGTATAGCCCCCCTACTATACTAATAATCTATATAGGGGACTTTAATAAATACTATCTAATATAGGACCTACTCTCCCCCTAATCTTATAAAGTAGAAGCTCTATACGAATAGATTAAGGAAAACCGCCTTAAACTCTAAAACTAACCTAGAGTAGGTACCTTCTTTCATATAGGGATAGAAAGGGAAATAGTTATTAACCTCTCCCTATATACTCTAATAGTTACTACTTAAGTAATTAACTAGTAGGTATAAGAGAACCCCCTATCTAACTATAATACTATTCTCTTTACTATTACGTATAACGAGTTTTAAGATATACTAATGCTACTACTACGGTTTAATGTTAAAAAGGCCGACTAGGCCTAGTATAGGTAAATCGTCCGAGAAGAGTTAAATAAGATTATAAGTCTACTTATCTAAGCCCTTCCTAATAGGGCATAATATATACTCTCTAGTAGGACCTTATAAGAGGACCTAGACTAACTTAGATAACGCCTTATAAAGGTAATAGAGATAGTAGCTAAACGTAGTATCCTATAGGTAACCCCTAGATAGTAATAAAAACTATAGTAGTCCCTACTCCTTACGGCCTTAAGGATAACTACTATATAAGTAAGGTGTAGGGCACGTTATAACTAAGTTATATATATAAGCACGGAATACGTATAATATAGCTATTAAGTAGGTAAAATAAGAGTACTAGAATAACTTCCTTATAAAAGAAACACCCTAGTCTATCTATAAGGTAATAGTATATATGAAAGTAACCCGATCTAAGTAAATCCCCTAGATACGTAACCTTTAAGATTAACTCTAATTATTATATAATAGTAAGTATGCTGCCTTCTATTAAAAACTCTTCCCCCTACTACTATATGTTCCCCTACGTAACTAGATAAACTATAAGGAAGGGCTATAGGACTAGCCCTCCCTTACGGATAAGGAAGTATAGTATGTCTACTCTTATAAGATTAAAGGCACTACCCCTAGGCTAGACTAGATCTACTAGAAGATAATTACTAAGACGTATAACGCTCATCCTAAAAAATTTACCTAGATATACTAAACCTTCTTTACGTACGGATATCACCTAGAATGCTAGAGAGAAGTAGTAGGTATAATACTTAAGAAGCTAGGGAAACCTAATTATGTAGACCTAAAAGCATATAGAGTTATCTCCCTACTTAACTACCTAGGAAAAGTCCTTAAACGCATTATAGTAAAACGTCTTAGAGTGCTTATAGAAGCTACCTACCTCCTATACCTATCCTAAATAGGCGGATAACTATAGAAGTTAGTAATTAATATAGTAATAATCCTTATATATATTATCTAAGATGAGAGGAGGGCACGGTATAAGATATTAACCCTATTCCTTAATATATAAGGTGCCTTTAATTATATAGCCTATAACTAGCTCTTATATATAATAGGGGAAATTAGGCTTCCTACCTCCCTCCTAGTATAGGTAAAGATATTTACTAGTAGGTAATAACTCTAGATCTCCTTTAATAGCTAATGAGAGGACCTTCATCTAATAGTTTTAGGAATTCCCTAGGGAAACCTAGTCTTACTAATCCTATTTCTTATTTATATATAAAAACTCTTTTCCTCTTGCTTAGTCCGATTCCTCTTATATATTAATAATATTTTAATCATAATCTCCTTAATAAGCTAGAAGAAAAATACGCGGATCCTCTAGTAGGAAGCTAACTAGCTTTTCTTACTTAGAACCTAATATACCGTCGATTTTAATAAAGATAAAATAGACCTTATCTATTTTATAAGCTTAGATAAGGCTAAGTAAGCTATAATTACGCTCCTAGGAGACTATATAGTATAGCTAAAGTAACTCATCTAATAGCTTAGGATATAGTTTAATATATACCTATTATTCTAGTAGTATACGATAATTTAGAACGCCTAAGTAAAGTAATTACTTAGAAGGCTTATATAGCTAGCTAATATATAATATAGACTATCCCCTACTACTATCTAATAACTATACCTAGCTTATATATAAAGTATAGTAGATTATAGGTCCCTAGTTTTCTAGTAAGTTAGTAGCTCTAAGATACTTAGACGAACACTTTAAAATAATAGACTACGCTAAATCCTAGGAGCCTTTTAGACCTCCCTAATTACCCCTATAGAAATTAAAGTAGGACTTCTCCCCCCCCTACCTAAGGCGTAACATGTTACTTTAAGCGTATACTATATAACTCTTTAAGCTTAGTTACTAATACCTAGTATATATAATTATTAATAAGTTTAAATAAGAGAACATACTAGGATGATAGATATAACTTAAATATATCTAGAGCATAATTTTAGACCTAGTAATAGGTACTAAAAGCCTAATTAAACATAGTTCCTTTCCCCTATAGAAAAAGACTACTCCGTACGAAGTTAAGATTAGCTACCTCCTAAAGGAATAAGAAGCCTAAGTACACGTTAGACGTATAGGATATATAACTTAGGTAGTTATCCTATACTCTAACACTTTATCTATCCTAAAAGGAAATAGAGTAGGTATAGGAATTACAGCGTACGATACCTAATAAGATAGTATAAGAGTAGTAGTAAGATATAGAGGAAATACTAGACTATACTAGCTTATATATAATGGAGAACTAGAGGCACTTATAAGGGCTATAGAGTTAGCTACCTAGAAATAGCTAGGATAATAGATTATAGTATATATAGATAACTAAGCTATACTATACCGCCTCTAAACCCTATCTAACCTACTAGGTTAAGGACTATAACTTTAAGCTATAGATATAGGCCACTTAATTATAGCTAGATAAGGTAGTCTTACCTTCTTATAGGCCCTAGGCTATATAGGGATTAGAGGAAACCTATAAGTAGACGCCCTTATAAAGGAGGCTACTAAGCTAACCCTAGAGAATAACTACTTAAGTACTACCCTCCTTAGGATGCGCGTATAATAAAGAACTATAGTAGAATAGATAGTATATACTATATAATACTAGGAAGCATAGATAATACTATCCTAGGGGTTATATATATATAACTTCCTATCTATACTAAGGATGTCTATCTAACTCCCTAAGTATAGATAACTAGAAGTATTAGCCTACTTCTAATTAAAACTAAACTATAGCTACTTTAAAGCCTACCTATTACGGTTTAGTAAGATAGCCTAGGATAACTATAGCTATAATAATACTACCTAATAAATACTATAACATCTTATTAGTAACTACCTACTCTATAGCTCTACTAGAAAAGAAGTAATATAGGAAGCGCTTTAGGCGTATAATAATAATAGTAGGAATATAGCCTCTATACCCTATAGAGAGCTATTCTAAGGAGACATTAGTTAATAATTTATACTTAAATTCATACGTTAGACGAAGGTTTCTACTAGGGTATAGTACATGTAAAGAGTAGACTAAGGGAAAAGAAGAGTAAAAAGAAGAAGAGAGAATCTATTCTAAGCTCTATTAGTAGAGTAAATAATAAGCTCTATAATCCCTCTACTTATAGTTCCTATAGGTACTACCCTAGAACCCCTCTAACTAAAGATAATCTAGGAAGGGACCCCTTTATCTATAATCTACCTAATACCCTCTAGGCTTATATCCCTCCTCTACCTTATATAGAGCCTCTACTAAGACCCTAGCCCTCTAGATTAGGAAGGTATTAACATAACTTAGATAACTACTCCGTAACTACTCTAGCTAAACCCTCCTACTCCTAATAATAATTAGATAACTGTTTAGTAGTAAGGTAAGGGCTTAATACTATTCGTCTATATAGTATACCTAGGCTAGGGCGGCGTATAGAGCCCTATTATTAGTAATAATGTTAATATACGGTCGTCTAATAGCGGTAACTAGGCTAGATTAAATTATAAGTAATATTAATATAGATTAAACCTAGGTTCTTAAGTGTTCTTTATTTTCTAGGATAAGTATTAGCTAACTATACTAGTTAGCTAGAAGATAGATGCTACTAGTTAAAAACCTTACCTACTTTTTTTACCTTTATAGGTACTAAGAAAGGTATTATATAATGCTAACTAAGAATAGTACTATTAGGGATAGTACTAGAACGCTATAGTAGAGTATATATATAATCTACCTTACCTACTACCCTATACTATATTTACTTTTCTATATATACCTTCTCCCTATCCCCCTTTCTTTCCTTACTCTTACTCTATACTACCTATCTACTTAGATAATAGTAGGAAGGCTAGTCCTTAGCCCCCCCTTACCTAAAAAGAGCCTAGATAAACTATCTATCTATACCTACCCTATACTAATATTATACTAAGAATCACGCCTTATTATATGAGATTCTTTAGCTAGGTATCTCTACTTACCTTATAAACGTATATAGGATCCCCTATAGATAGCTCTATCTTAGATAGCCTATAGCTCTAGTAAGACGTAAAATAATTAATTAATTAATTAATTAATTAATTAATTAACCTTAATGACTAGACATTCACGATAGCGAAATCAACAGACGTAGAATTTACATAATTTATATTACTAAATAGCGGATTGAAAACACAAACGTAACCTTTGGTGAATGACGACATTCACCGGACGGCCAGCCAGCTTGGCGCAGGGGTAACGCGTCGCACTTGTATGCCAAGGACGGACGACGTCTTTCGAAATATGCAATGCGAAGATCGTGTGTTCGATTCACACAGTTGGCATTTTCGTTTTGGCTTTGGCTTTTTTTGGTGTGGAGAGGTGAGGGACGGAGAGAAAGGAGTGGGGGGAAGAAGGATTTGAGATGGGAGGGGCGGGCAACTGTTTTGTTGGCCGTGTGGTGTGGAGGTAGGTAGTTAAGGGGGGGTGTGTTTAGGTAAGGACCTGGCACCTGGGAAAGGAAATGGGATGGGGTTAGTGAGGAAGATTGGATGAGGGGATGATGGGGAGACAAGCCCGTGTGTTTCGTTTCGCATTCGGACTGGAAGTCCTCGAGGTTGACTCGATGCAGCGAGTAAGTGTTGGATGCTCGATTTGTCTAATGCAAATAGTCAATGGTTGATCAAACAGCCGTGACTGTCCGTAGAGAAAGAGCATTTGAAGGACGAGAGTGTGATATCCATGGATAGAAATAGCCAGACATAAAACCGCCGTCAATTTCTTGGAGCCAACCGACATCAGAATAACCAATTGAGGAGCGGGCCGGGTGGTTGCCGACGCCAGGGCCAAAGTGCTTTGCTCGGGTCAAAATGCCTCGACTGCGGCCCGCAATCCTATCGATATCGGCTGGCGCGAAAAACTGCCTACCCGCGTCGTCGTCAACAATTCAGCAGCCACACCTTCATCTCCACCGACCTCAGCAACCACCATGGCCGACCACGATCTCGACCCGTCCGATCGCCCGGCCAAGCGCCAAAGAGTCGAGGGCGAAGTCACCATGACCGATGCCGACGCCGACGCGACGACGAATCCCGGCGCCCAGTGCCTGTCGCAGACGCTCGAGCTCGTCGCCGACGGCACCGCGCGCAAAGACCTCGAGGACCAGCTTGCCAAGGAGATTCGCGTCGGCGTGGACCAATTCACGAGCCCGGAGACGAGCGGCTTCATTGGCGTCTTCAAGCAGCGTTACCACGATTTTATGGTCAATGAGATTGCAATCGATGGCACCGTGTGGCATTTGGAGCAGGACGCGGGCTTTGAGGCTGCTGAGAAGAAGGCTCAAATTGAGGCTGCGGCTGAAGAGAAGGAGAAGGAGAAGGAGAAGGAGTCGCAGGCTAAAGAGGAGGTCAAGGAGCCAGCCAAACCTGCAGAGGAACCCGCAGGTGAGCCAGAGGAACAACCCAAGGCCGATTCTTCCGCAGAGGTTGGTTGTGCAATTGAGCAAGAAATTGAAACTTGCTAACCTCCACAGATTGCGGAACCCCAGGTCAATCGCCTCAAGGCTATATTTGGCGACGAAGTCGCAGACGCCATCGTCGCCCTCGACCGAGAGGTTGTGCATAAGCCCAATCGCAAAGCGCGCGAATTCGGCACGGTCTCTTCCAAGCCAATCGACAGAGCGGATCGCAGCGCAGCACATCAAGCCGTCCGCGAGATATTCAACCACCGTCTGGCTACCGAGACTGAAGAGGGGGGGATCATCAAGGTCGTCGCTGGGAATCCCAAGGTGAGGCGCGGACATGCGCCGCCGCCAAACTCAAAGGGCTCGAGCGTGGGCAGGAGGAACAACAACAAGCAGAACCCGGTGTTCAAGGTCAACTGGAATGAGGTCGGTGGCGAACATCTGCATTTCACGCTGTACAAGGAGAACAAGGACACGATGGAGATCATCAGCTTCCTCTGCAAGTCGCTGCGCGTGGACGACAGAAAGTTTGGCTATGCTGGTACCAAGGACCGTCGCGCCGTTACGGTTCAGCGCATTAGCGCCACCAGGATATCGGCACCGCAGATGGCGGATCTGGCGTCTCGTCTGTTCAATTGCCGCATTGGAAACTTTGCGTACAAGCCGAAGCCTCTGTCTCTGGGTGACCTGGCAGGCAACGAGTTTACCATCACGCTTCGCGATTGTCACTTCTCTGGTGAGGAGGACAAATCGATCGAGCAGCGCGTCGAGAATGCTCGTGTTCGGCTTCAAAAGGCAGTTCAGCACTTTGAGAGCCATGGCTTCATCAACTACTTTGGTCTTCAGCGTTTCGGAACTTACGCCGTCTCCACGGACACGATTGGAAAGCACATGCTCAAGGGGGATCTGGAAACTGCTGTCGACCTCATCATGTCTTACAGCCAAGAAGCAGTGGAGGCCTACGACAAGGCGGAAGATTCGCTCATCTCGGACGATGATAAGAAGAGAGCCAAGGCCTTGCATATTTGGAAGACGGAAGGGAATGCGAATCGTGCCCTGGAAATCCTCCCATCGCGCTTCACGGCCGAGAAGCGCTTCATCTCTTGGCTCGGGCAAAAGGACCACAGGACGAAACAGTTTAAGCACGCCAACGACTACCAAGGCGCCATGATCCAGCTGCCGCGCAACCTCCGCCTGATATATCCTCACGCGTACCAATCGTTGGTTTGGAATACCGTGGCGAGCGAACGTATCAAGCGCCACGGTCTCAAGGTCATCCCTGGCGACTTGGTTCTCGTCCACGAGCACAAGGACAAGGAAGTCAACAACGCCAACGCCGAGCCAGAAGCGCTGGAGGAATTCGATGCCGATGGCGAGCTCATCATCCGTCCTGAAGGCGACAACGCAGCCGCCGACCCTTTTGAGCGCGCACGCGCCCTGACGCAGGAAGAAGTTGAGTCCGGCCGCTACACCATCTTCGACCTGGTGCTGCCGACGCCCGGCTACGATGTTGAGTACCCGGCCAATGACATTGGCCGTTTCTACGAAGAATTCATGAAGGATGAGCAGCGCGGCGGCGGCATCGACCCGCATGACATGCGGCGCAAGTGGCGCGACATCAGCCTATCGGGCGGGTACCGCAAGCTTCTCGCGCGCGCTCTGGGCGGCGGCGTCGGCTTCGACGTCAAAACGTACCGCGACGGCGGCAGCGGCAGCAGCGAGCAGCAGCTCGTCCCGACAGACTTGGACCGCTTGATCGAGCAGGGCAAGGGCATCTCGCTCGAGGAGGCCCGCAAGCGCAACTGGGTCGGTCACCCGAACAAGAATGCAAAGGACGCTGCCGCGTCTTCCCTGCCCAAGTCAGCGGTTTCTGAACAGCCGCAGACGCAGGAGAAGCTGGCCGTTGTGCTCAAGTTCAAGCTTGGCTCCAGCACGTATGCAACCGTGGCGCTGCGCGAGCTGATGAAGGGCGGCGCGCAGGCTTTCAAGCCCGAGTTTAGTCGCTGAGGGTGGATGAGGGGTGTAGTTATTGAATGTTTGGCAGCAAAACTCGCTTTTGGCGGATCGCGTCTTGCATTGCGACATCTTCAGTCTCTTTTGCTTGGGAATGAGAGCATTTAGCATTTAGCATGCATGGTGAGCGGCGTTGGCGTCAAGAGGTCCTAGACTTGAAACTTATGTTGGTGGAAAAGCTGGAATCTACTATTTTGCGCGCCTCTTGCTGATCAACTATTGACTCTCCTAGCTCTAGATACCGTGGAAAACGATGTGTTGGCATGCGAGTGGTCCTCACATGTCGCACGTGCAACAAGTCTGACTATCACGTTTGCTCTACTTACAGTTCACACGCCACGCCTGTCTTCTATCCCTCCTTATATAAAACACCCCCTCATCATCTCACAACCGATCCCTCGTGCAGTCTTCAAACAGCGAGGAGCAAGAGACGGTCTCTATCATCCACTTTTCCTCGTCTTCCTCGATCGCACACAAAGCACTGTTGTCTTCCTTTCCCTCTCGTTTCGCCGGGGCCCTCAGTCCCTACATACCTTTTCAGTTGGCCGGCGTCAACGCCGGCGATGTGAACTTCGCCTTCATTAATGCATGGTGATGATGTCTGATTCTCTTGCAAATCTTTTCTTGCCGCAGCGGTGGAAAGTGGAGTTCCAAGATCAAAGACAAGTGAGCGCCCTTCACCCGCGGCAGGACACGGCCAGTGAGCCCGGTCCTTTGGCAGATCTCCTCCCCCGGTGCATCAGCCTGCTGGCTGAAAGCCAAAGGCTAGATTTGCCTACCTCTGCGCCGGAAGCTGGAGAGGAAGTTCCAGCTGTAGGAAGAGGAGGTTCTTGTACCTCTGGACGAGCAGACGTGCGACAAGAGTACCTAGGGCGGCGCGTGATGCCGTGGCTGTCAAAGGATGTTTGGGCAGGGCAGATCACACGATTTGCACGTGGCAAGTGCTCAGTCAATCTATCCTGTGTCAAGTTTCTTTCCTACATCCCGAGTGTATAAGCAACCGCGCTTCCTCGTACAAGATAGCAATGACACTCTGTTCGCGATCCCAGCGGCAAAAACAATCCCAAGACCCAACCTCCGTCGCTTATGGGGTCAAGACTATAGACACTTGGGCTATGTTGCGTCTGTGCCGTTTCCCCAAGCGTCCAAAAGTTGTAAATCGACGTCAAGACACCACCACGTCATCTTGCCGTCCTTCATCATGGAGGCTCCATGATCCGACACAACGGGCTCCATCAGCATTCCAATTGTAGCTCCGCGTACAAGCGCCTAGCATCTTCCATCCACACCCCACGACCAGGACAGCCGCGAGTGAGGATAAGAGAATGGGGTATCCTCAGCGCGAGTGATACTCCATCAAGAATCTCTGTCTTCAAGAGACTCGAGACATCGAGACTGCTGTAGTGGGGAGGAGGCTCGGCGTTCATGTCCTCTTCTTTTATATCCCCAAGAGAGTCAACCTCGTGACACACACGATGTCGCCCGTGCTGCACGCCAAAAGAGGAACTTCGCCCCATGACTGTAACAGAATGTCACAACAAGATGCCGGCGTACTGTCGGCGCGCTATCGGAGCTCTGCGATCTTTCCCGCCTATGTAAGAAGCCTCTTTCCCGCGACTTCGGCGCCGTCCATGGAGTACGGTCTGCGATGGCGCCGATTGTCATGGATTTCTTCTACTCTCTTTTCTGCCAGCCTAATCATCGCCTTGTTTTTCATAGGTGTTGGCTGTGGCATGCACCCTTTTTCTGACCTCCTCCCGAAGTGATTCACTTTGTGAGTGTTGTTATTTTCTTACCGCAAAGCTAGAGGAGAAGCGACGACCGTAAATGCACCATGAAGAAGCACGTTATCACTAGAGAATGATGATG